CGTGCGGAGTTGTAGATCCCTGGGTGTCTGTGGGGTCTGAGAGTGGCGCGGGCCTGTGGGATGGGCAGGAGTCCACAGGATGTGGAGGGATTTGACTGTTGCCGGGAAGTAGAAATTGGAGAGAAGTTCAGGCTGGAGGAGCAGGCATGGACAAAGTCCTTGAGGGGTGTGCAGAGCCAATGGGCGGGCCGGGGACTACAACCTGCAGCATGAGGTGCTGGCTGGATGATGCGCAGTGGCGCGTGGGATGTGGGGCTGGTCGGCAGGAGGCAGCTGTGCGGAGTAGATTTAAGTGGTTCTTGAGGGACAGAGCCTATATGGGTGGAGCCTCGAAGGGGGAGGGGGAGAAAATGGGCTCCTACCTTGGCTGAATTGGCTGCCAGGTGTGGACATATTATAAAGGGAGGGTTAGGGAAAGGGGTATTCCCGGAGCCCCGGGAAGGTCAGGAGCCTGGACTCGGAGTAGGGCCTGGCGTCAGTAGCAGATGCTGGATGAGCCTGCAGGGTTGGGGCTTGGTGCACAGAAGGCCAGGGGCTGTTCAGGGAGCCCTGTAACTGCTTTTCTGTTTCTGGGTGCCCCTTTGGGAAATAGAATGTTATAGCAATTAAACTGAAGGCTTTGAACTCAGGCTGGGACTTCCATCCCTTTGCCAGTTAATCTCAGCAAAGCCCAGGCAAGGATTCAGTGGGACCATGTATGTAAAGGAGTCAGCGGGATCATGTACTTCTTAGAGTATAGTAGGACTTGGCACATAGTAGGTGCATAGTAAAGAATGGCGATTGTAATCGTTGGATCTTTTCCTCCAGAGGGTTCACTAAGCACTAGCTGTGGGCCACATACTTTTTTAGGGCCCTGGGACATGGGCAGCTGAAGTTCCCACCTTTTCAGATCTCACAGGCCCAGTGGGAACACATCGTTTTATTCATTCAGCTCATTTCTACTAGTTGCCTAACACGTGTATGCCAAAGCTTGTGTTGGCCAAAGCCCAGAGTGCCCCAGGGTGGAACAGCTCCTGGCATGCAGGTGGTTAATGAACTGAATTAATTGGGACCAGCAGACAGAGTAACGGTTATGTTGCTGAACATGGTTGACCACGGTTAGAGTCCTGGACCTGGAGGCTTGAAACTCATGCTGGATGCATGTGTGTGTGCCCAAAATCCCCTGAAGAGAATGGAGGAGAAGGGATTGCGGTGTGGCCATCCCCCCGGGGGGTGCTTTCTTGCTTTCTGTCTCTCTGGCAAGCGCACGTGCCCTATAGCAAAAATCTCTCAAAAAAATTAATTAATTAAAATGAATGAGTGCGTTTCTGACTGAAAACCAGGCGGAGGGGAGCTCCAGGCATAGGCAGCAGCATATGCAGAATGTGGGAAGCAGCCTCATCTCTGTGACCTTAGCATCTCCAGCTCTCTCTGACTCTCCCTGTGTCTTTCTAGTCTCATCCTCATAGTTCTCCATTTCTCTCCACAGGCACTGGCGCCCCCTCGTGGCGGGCACAGACCCCCTCGTGGGGGCGACAGAAGAACCGCGCTCGAGCAGCGTCAGGTGGCGCCGCGCTGGCCAGTCCTGGCCCAGGGTCCGGGTCAGGGACCCCGGCTGGGCCTGGGGGCAAGGAGCGTTCGGAAAACTTGTCCCTGCGGCGCAGCGTGTCAGAACTTAGCCTGCAGGGTCGGCGGCGGCGGCAGCAGGAACGCAGACAACAGGCACTTAGCATGGCCCCAGGGGCAGCCGACGCGCAAATTGGACCTGCAGACCCTGGGGACTTCGATCAGTTGACGCAGTGCCTCATCCAGGCTCCTAGCAACCGCCCCTACTTTCTGCTGCTCCAGGGCTACCAGGACTCCCAGGTACGCACAGCCTTCCTTACCGGGAGAGCCTCGTGCTTCACCCATCCATAGGAAAGAGACAGAACTACGACTCCCAGGATCCCCTGGGTGAAAGTGGGAGAGGAAACAGGGTAGACGGCTCAGAGCCCAAGGGAGGGACAGATAGATGTCTGTTTCATTCGAACGTGGGGGAAAGCACTGCTTTCATTATCCGAGGGAAGAAGAGACCTGAGAGGAAAAGAGAGGCCTTGGAAGTGTCCATTTTTGAGGAAGAGGAATGAGAGCGATCAATTCGGGGCAGAGAAATCATTTGATTGGTACCTGGATCTTGCCCTGCACAAGGCTGCATTTGCTCAGTGGAAACTTTTTTTTTTTTTTTTTTAAAGAGGTTTTTGCTATAGGGTGTGTGCGCTTGCCAGACAGAGAGAGACAGAGAGACAGAAAGAGAGAAATCACCCCCCAGGGGGGATGGCCACGCCACAATCCCTTCTCCTCCATTCTCCTCTTGGGATCTTGGGCACGCACGCACACGCGCCCGGCGTGAGTTTTAAGCCACCTGGTCCGGGACGCGAACCGCGGTCGACTACGTGGGAGTCCAGTGACATAGCCATTACACTAACTGCTGGTCCCAGTGGGAACCGTTTTTAAAAGGCACGGCTGGTGGCATGGTGGCATGGTGGTTAAAGGCACTGGACTCCCACATGGCTGACCACGGTTCAAGTCTCAGACCTGGTGGCTTGCTTTCTCACTTCCTCTCTCTCTCTCTCTGATCAAACTGGAAAATAATAATAATGATGATAATAATAAATAAAGTTAAATAAAATAATTTTTTAAGAAAAAAAAAGGCCACGGCTTACACTGAAGCGCTCTGACCACTGATGGAGGCAGAGGTGCTGATTCTTCTGTGTGCTCTATGTATCTGAGTGACAGAGGGAGAATCCTTTGAGTGTCAGAGAGCAGGGAGGAAAGGAGATTGGTGGATGGGAGGGTCAGTGGGAAATGGTTTCATTAATAGAAAAGTAATGGATGATTGAAATATTTATTCGTGATGACTGAGGATATCATTCTTTCTTTTTTTTTAAATAATTACTTTATTTAACTTTATTTATTTATTTTAATTTGACCAGAGAGGGACAAAGTGAGAGGCAGAGACAGAGACAGAGAGAAAGAGAAAGTGAGAAAGCAAGCCACCAGGTCTAGGACTCGAACTGCAATAGGTCACATGGGAGTCCAGCGCCTTTAACCACCAGTCACCGGCCGACCTGAGATCATTCTTGTGCTTTGGGTAACAGTGGTACAACCAAGCTCAGCGGCTAGTGGGAAAAGCCCATTCTAGATGGTGCTGGGGCTTATCGGATAGTTTTTACTGTGAGAGCGGGAGCCAATTAGGTTAGGCAGCCTGGCTGAGTTGATGGGTGAGGGGATAAGGATCTATTTTGGGAAGAGCTTTCATGGAAGAGTTCATTCCTTCCTGTGGGGGCAGGGGATGGGGATAGAGCTCACTATAGTAAGGAGATTGTCTATATCATAACAGCCCATTCCTCTGGACAAGGTTGGAGAAGAGGAGGGTCGATTTTTGGAAAGGTATCAAACTAGAAAGAAACTATTCTGCCAGGTTGGTCTCTTGTGGGAAGAGGGAGAAACATTGGAAACATCCCTATTTCTTGGGGTGGGGTTCATGAGAAATTCCTTTGTAAGAAAGAGGGTCTAGGGGCCAGGAATGGTGTGGTGGTTAAGGCGCTGGACACTCCCACGTGGCTAACCCTGGTTTCAGTCCTGAACCTGGTGACTTGCTTTCTCACTTCTCTTCTCTTCTCCCTCTCTGGTCAAATGAAAATAAATGAATGAATAAATAAAATTTAGAAATAACTAACTAAATAAATCATTCTCTTTTTTTTTGGAGACGTTTTGGCTATAGGGCGTGTGTGCTCACCAGACAGATAGAGAGAGACAGAGAGATAGAAAGCGAGAAATCACCCCCCAGGGTGGATGGCCACGCCGCAATCCCTTCTCCTCCATTCTCCTCTTGGGATCTTGGGCACACACGCACACGCGCCCGGCGTGAGTTTAAACCAACGGGTCCGGGACGCGAACCGTGGTCGACTACGTGGGAGTCCAGTGACATAGCCATTATGCTAATTGCTGGTGCCTAAATAATTCTTTTTTAAAAAAGAAAGAAGGTATATTGGGGCCAGCAGGTGATGTGGTGGATAAAGGTGCCGGACTGCCACATGGCTGACCGCGTGGTGTGGTTCAAGTCCTGGACCTGGTGGCTTGCTTTCTTGCTTTTCCTTTCTCTTTCTCGTTGTCTCTGTCAAATTAAAGAAATAATAATAACAAATGAAATTAAATAAATAAATCATTCTTTTTTAAAAAAAAGGGAAGAGGATATATGGGTCAGTAGTAGTGTGAAGGTTAAGGCGCTGGATCCCACATGGCAGACTCTGCAGTTTGAGTCTTGGACCACGTGGCTTGAAAAACATGCTAGGTGGGACCAGCATTTAGCGTAATGGCTACGTCACTGGACTTCCATGTAGTCGACTATGGTTCGAGTCCTGGACCAAGTGGCTTAAACTCACGCTGGGCGTGTGTGCATGCCCAAGATCCCGAGAGGAGAATGGAGGAGAAGGGATTGCAGCGTGGCCATACTCCCTGGGGGTGATTTCTCGCTGTCTCTCTGTCTCTCTCTTTCTGGCGAGCGCATGCGCCCTATAGCAAAAACCTCTCAAAAAAAAGAAAGAAAGAGGGACCAGCAGTTAGTGTAATGGCTATGTCGCTGG